CCAGACTCCTGCTGGATGCCTTTTGCCACCTTCAGTTTATCACAAGTAAGACTGCAGCTTGAATAAAAAGTCAATAGCTCTTTCCCTCTTATCCCTTTACCAGATCTTCAGAGAGGAAACCTCTATTCTGCAGTTCCCTTAAGAATTGCCTGACAAAATCAAGAAATGCTAAACTTAGCAAAGATAATGTGTCTGAAAACTAATGGAAGGGTTGGGAGGAAATAAATAAACTCAAGAACAAGAAGCCAGAGTTTTTCACACACACTGTAAAGAAAGACAGAGAAACCTACTTCCTATCATTGTAGGTCATTCTGCACTGCTTCAACTTGATATGAATAGATCCCTCAATAGTTAACTTAGTCAAGGGAGGATTCAGATCAATCCTCCCCATGCCAGCCATGCCTTCTTCTAGATCAATAATGGCTGATGAATAACTGCCAAGCTCACAACACAGACACAATGGAAATCCTGCTCTTTTAGAAAGTGCCTTTGCAAGCCCTTTGGATAAGGAGTGCTTTACTGCTCCTCTGCTAAATCTCAGCAATGAAGCTGAATTCCTGATGATGCTGCCATTCTGCAGAAGCAGCACTGCGCTTGTAACCTGCACCTTTCTTTGAGGATTTAGCAAGAGCTGTTTGAATTCATTTGGAAGTGAATTCTAACACAAGTTCTGTATAGCTTTCATCTTTAATAAAGTCGGGGTTTTTCTGAGGTAGACTGCTTTCACAATACATGGAACTTTGTTTTTCAAAATATCTATCTCTGATAATTGGAGGGTTTTTTCTTTTTTTTAAGTTTATAATACTGTAAGCAATGCAAGTTATCGGACATAAAATTGAGTTAAGGGGTTCCTCTGCAAAAACTAGTTAAAAATGAAAAGTTGGAAAATCAGCTGGAGTTTGCAGTTCACATTCATAAATCAAATCCCTTCATTGCACTGAAGCACTGAAAGGAGAATCACTTTGCTCACTTGAAAGGATGCACTTTTTTGGGGAATTCAGTCCTTTTGATGTATATATTCCCAATAGAAATGATGCCTGATAATAAGCTACAGTAGCATTATCCATAATAAAAAATATTTTACAGGATGCTTTTTAAAAAAATGGCAATAATTGATGATAAATATCTCCTTTCAACAGTACATGAATCTACACTGTTAAAATAAAACTGAAGTTACATGTGCACCACTCTAGACTATGCAAACAGACTTGAAATTTGTAAGTACAGATTTATGGCTGGAAGGGTGCATTCTCCTTCAAGCTGTTTGTGCAACCTACTTATCAGAAGAAAGAGATTTCCTGGAGATTTCATTTAATTAGCTGGAACAAGCTATTAGTAAAACAAGCAACTAAACCCATAAGTATATAAGCTATTAGGCTTCTAGCATAGTTTATACAAAAATAATTAAAAGTATATCCAAAAATTCAACCAGGGAGTGGCCAAGTTCACTACTAACCAGTCCTGGGTGGACAACAATAAGAGTCTAGAAAGGGAAAAGTTAGTAGTCTGACAGTAAATATTACGAGAGGAGAGGAAAACATGATCCATGTTGATGTTGTTTGTATCCCTCCCTTTTTAAGCTTCTGAAAGACTCCACTTACTCCTGTGGCAATTAGGAGAAATCATCACTGCCAATAACATATTTGTACTAAAAGTCATCAAAGACAATGCCATTTCCAAAAATTCAGAATCAGATTGAAATTAAAGTTTGAAGTGTAGCTGTTCAACTTTGTTTGCTGGAATAGCCACTGCCCAATGTGATCTGAATATGAATTGAGATCTGAAATTCCAGGGAATTACATGAGGCAGTAGATGTGTTTCTTCTATTAACCATAATGAGAAATGCATGACTCATTCCTCTCACACCAGGCTACAGCATACCCTGCAGTTCTGTACTATGTATATTGACTTACTTGAATGAAGCTTTGTGTAATAAGATTTAAATTATAATGAGTCATTATGTCAACCTTTTTTGTTGGTATTTTACATAGTAAGTCTATTGCACAGTGTGCAGTATATTACTGCAGAAAATCCTTGCAAGTATGGTAAGTTGGCAGTAGGTAGGTGTAAAAAATCTCAGCATGGCCATAGTTTCCAAAGGATGAGTTTTGTGTCTGTGTGCTTATTACAGCCATTATCATCAGTCCAAGAGACACTCCTTAATCTATCACATGCAGATATATGATGTCCTCATTTGCTTTTAGTGGGTCGAGACAGTCTGCTTATATGGGCTTGAGGTGAACGTTGTCAAAGTAATATTTTTCAAGACTGTTTAAACATTCACATATGCACACATACATGCACACAGAGAGCTGTTTTCTAATAATCCTTTTATCAGCCTGAAGCTGAAATAAGTTTCTTTCTTGTAAGGATCTGTTATTGAGAGTTTCTTATTAGTAACTAGCTGCTGACATTGATTTCATTAAAAAATAAGCACAGTCCCAAAGAGCTTTTGATTTATTTTTTTTAATTGCACAACATGTAGAGTATAAACACAGCCTGCTTTGCTCAGAACTGTACCTCTTTAATTGCTTGAATTAAAAGGGTTTCTGGATCAGTATTTTCTCTCAGCTTTCAGTATATACTGGTGGCATGTTATCAAGTTATCTCTGAAACCTCTAAAGCTCACTGGAGCTGAAAGTGATGTGGAAAAATTATTTGTGTTCATTGTAAAGAGTATTGAAAACACTAAAAAAACCCTTTGGTAATGACTCTTTTGTGCAAAATCAACTGTAGATAAAGTATCTTTTCTTCTTATAATGAATAACTATACAGAACTTAAAGAATTAACTATGTCTTGAGGTACTATTTTCTGCCCAGTGACTAATAGGCAAACCTTGCTAATCTATGCCAAAAAGTAAAGAGGTTCTAAGCCTGGACTGTAGGGTTTCGGTGTCAGCTTTTTCAAGACAGGCTAACAAACAAAACTCTTCATGGAACACACATGCAGGCTCACAAATACCTTTCTCTATATGGTTCTGCATTAACCTACAAAGCACTATTCTCCAACAGTTTCTAAATTCTGGTGTTTCTTATTTAAGTATCTACAACAACTCATAGTTGAGCATGCTTCTCTTGTTCTGCTCACTTCTTGTCAGATAATTTAATATCAACAATTAAATGATTTAATAGCAGGATGGGGAAGTGGGAGAAGGACCAGAAGCTTGACAAAGAAATGGGAACGATGACTGAAGCTTAAAGCTTCTTGCAGTCCATCACAGTAGCTCATATTACACTTACATTTGCACTTTTGCTTCTCTTAACTATCATAGAATCATAGAATAGTTAGGGTTGGAAAGGACCTTAAGATCATCAAGTTCCAACCCCCCTGCCATGGGCAGGGACACCTTGCTCTAAACCATATCACCCAAGGCCTCGTCCAACCTGGCCTTGAACACTGCCAGGGATGGAGCATTCACAACCTCCCTGGGCAACCCATTCCAGTGCCTCATCAGCCTAACAGGAAAGAATTTCCTCCTTATATCCAATCTAAACTTCCCCTGTTTATCATCTAAGTCTTTACAAGGTATACACCAAAGGCTGTAATTGAAACCTACAGAACAGGCAAATGTTGGCATCTAATAGCTAGTATCCTTCCCCATGTTTCTCCCCTATTACATATTGCCTGTGAAATGGTGTCAGTGAACAAAAGATCACAGAGCTGGCTTTTTATTTTACCAACTTATCCTTAGATGTAGCTTTTCTCACCGTCCCAGAAAACTATTTTATCTTTAGGATTGGTTCAATAGTCCTTTTTGCTGGCAGTCCCATCCTGCTCTTGTTACTACATGAAAGTCTAATTGTGCTGGGCAGCTCTGTCTTGGCAAGCAGCTTACAAATTATATGTGAAATGGGACAGCAATCTTGGAAAAGCCTACCACTAGACGTCATTAATTCTACTCTTAGAAGGTAAAATTTTCTCAGGTGAATGATGTGCTTCTGCTTCTTACCTGAAAAGACTCTATTTGTTCCCTAAGAATTCTTCATTGTGGTATCAAGTAAGGTATTTAAAAAATGCTTACAACTAATTAGAAATCAGTGAGGAAAATCAGTGTGAAATTTAGAAATTAATACAGTAGAAAACCAAACAATTAATTTATGCTCATATCTAGTGAATTAATATCCAACTTGTTACCTCTGTTGTTTTGGATTTTTTTTATCAATCAATCAGTATCATAATTCAGGAGCAGGCAGGGAATATATCCATATGTTTTCATTCCCTTGTAGAATGAGCCTAAAGAACGGAACCAAAATATAGGATTGCAGACTCGCCACTTTTTTTTTTTCCCTGAGAGGATCATAAATTATTTAAAGTTTCTTCATTTTCAGAATGCCCAGATGAATGCACTGAAATATTCAAAGACTAACCTAAAAGATTTTACAGGTGACTCAGTAATTCTTGGCAACAACTGAAATAAAAATCATGCGCTTTTCTTTATATTTTAAGTATGAGGAATTAATTTGTCTGTCTTAATTTTCCCCATTATCAACAAATCACTTAAGATAATCACTATTAAATGAAAGGATATAAACATAACTGAAATGCAAATGTATGTTAGCGTCCATTTTATTTTCCTTGAAAATACTTTTTTTCCACTCAGTTCTCTATACTTGAAAAAGCAATATTACTTTATGTCTGGTAATTAAGTGGCACTCATGTTTTTTTCTATTACTACTTTTCTTAATGCTTATTTAAGAACTTTGCAAAGTTGAATACACAAGGTTCCTTTTCAACACTTGTATTGATTTTTCTTTTGTCTTTTAACAGACAGCAACCTGTACACAGCATGGAAAAAATAATAAGCAGCCAGTGCTCAAACAGCAGAATCAACATTTTTATTCTTTTTCTAATGATCACTGTGAGCAAGCCAAAACCCAGTTGTACCCCAGTAGAAGAGTCCTTCATTTCTCAAGTATCAATGATATGGTAAAAAATTAAATAAGTGGGGCTTTTTCCCCCTCTTGAACCTAAAAATGAAGAAATAAATTGAAATGGAACCTTGTCAGCTTTTTTATTCTCCTTCCTAGGCTTTCTCAGCTTACCTGAGTTACTTGAATTCAGGTACCTGACCAGAAATGTCCTGCAATTATGTTAATTCATCAGAGCATGGAAACTTAATCTTGATTATGAATTAGCATTGTCACTATAGTGCAGATAGTCAAGATATGGATATGCATCTCAATCCTCTGTTCATAACCTGGCAGGAATACAAGAGAGCATATCACAGCATTTTGTGTACACACTTGTGAAAGTTCAGTTATGTGTCACACCTTTCTATGTGAAATTGTGTGAAATGGGTCCGAAGGTACCGATGTGTTTGGATGGAGAGGAATTCACCAGAAAATAGCTGAAGAAAGGGTAAGTATGTGTGGAGAGATAGTGTTTAAAAGCCTGCAAGGTCTGGTAAGCTCTGGGGACTGAACCTGCAAAAATGGATAAAACGCAAAAAGTCTGCTGAATTTGGCCAAAGCCAAAAGTACACAGTAGCATCAACACCTGGTCATATCACTCAGACCACATTCAAGAAGGTGGTGGCTGCCATGTTCAAAGACACCAATACTGTACATACACCTTTGCATGTCTTCCACACCTACCTAGAAGCTGCTGGTGTCACTGTGGCTCTCCATGTGGCTGGCCTCCCAGCTTTGCTCCATCCACATAGTCATGACTCACCCCATGTGAGTATGTATATGTATATGAATAAACTGTTTGGGGAATAAGTGGATGTATAGTAATTAATAATGAAACCTGGCTTCTATTAATAATACCAACTTAATTCATAAAAGGTTTTGATCTATGTTTCCAACAGCTCAGTCCCCTACCAGGGAAAGGGAATTCATAATACTTGACCATTTTTTCTAGTTGGGAAACATGAGGCATGAACCACTCTATGAAAGGTCTGCTCTGTGGTTGCAGAGGAGACCCCTCTCATGGAAGTAACTTCATTTCCTGAACATATCCTTCCATTATTGTCTACAAGCAACAAACACCTTATTATTTGTTTTTAGTAAGATCTTTATGAGCCTTCAGTTCATGTTAAGTTTAAAAGGGTCATATTCTTTCATGTTTTGACAATGTAAAGGATTCTGATTTGTTGGTTTGGGTTTTTTTTTTTCTTTTTAAACCTTAACTGGAATCAGAAGCCTGTATCATCAGTAGATAGAATGCATTATCATTAACTTCATGAAGCAATTTCTCTTGTACAATTTTGGTAGTGCAGGCATTCTAGCTTTTAGTTTAATTGGATTTTTTGATAAATCTGTCATGACATGCTTTCTATATATGATCTTTCTACAAAAAAATATTTCTACAGAATAAAAGTTACTCCATGAATAGTATTAGAACAAGGGTTGTACACTGTTTAATCACATATTGACTCGGTTTCTAATAAGCAGTAAGAATGATTAGATTGTCCCTTTGTTCATTTGACTGTCCCATTAACATCTGCAGAATAGGGGATGAGAAAAAACATGTTGAAGCCACAAATTTATCAAATGTTTCCATTAAATATTACCAACTTTTTCATGATTTAAAAAGAATATTCTCATTTAATCAATAAATGCAGTAAACAAACGCACTATTGCCTTTTGTATTAGAATTTCAGTTTCTATGCTTGTCTACAAGGCCAAGAAAGAGCATGACTTTATGTTGCCGATGTGCTGTGTTTCCTCAGGTTGTGTCTTAGTATATACATGTTATTTTAGATCTAAGGAAATGTGACAGAAGGTAACAGGCTATACTGTGGTGCTGCAATGTCAGCCTGTGCACCAGAAAGATTAGAAATTGCAGTGTTGTAAGCACGTTGACTAGAAAGCAGAAAACCAACATAGTAACATCTAATTTTCTGACAGGAAGTCAAATAATTGAAGCACACACACTCCTTCATTGCAAAACCACCCTGTTACTACCATGAGAATAATAACGGTTTGCTTTTCCCTTTGGTTTGGCAGCAACTGATTATCACCTTCCACAGAACTGAAGCAGACAGTGGGTACACTGTATATACAGTGAAAAGGAAATAGTGACTAGGGGCTACTGGATTTAACACATTTTATTACTGCATGCAGCGTTATGCATTTAAAAAGTGGAATCAATTTTCCCTTTCTGAATTCTGCTAGCAGTATTTTTTTTTTTATTTTAATTTTTTTATGAGAATGCTATTGGCTTCCTTTGGCATATTTCTTGACAACAAGAAGACTGCCTTGGTTATTACAGTGCTATGTTTCATATCTCTTTGACCACAATAGAAGATGTTCCCTTTACTTAAAGCTTTCTTGATGTTATCAGACTGAGAAAATTTACTTCAGTAGCCCTAAAAGCCATTCCAGGAATAAGACTTGATCCTGCACTCAATTATCTGTCCACATTCCATCAAACGTCTGTAAAGAGGTTAAACAAAATGTAAGGACACCCACTCCTTAGATTAGCCAGGAAATGGTATCTGGGAATTGACTTTTTTACTTTCCCCCTAATATAAGAAAAAATAATGCCAGCAAGTCTCTGGGTTTATCAAAACCAGGCTCACCTTCATGGTTGCCAAATTGTCTTACAAAATCAATTAGTCATTTTGATTTCACTATATTTTACAAAAAATGCAGAGGAGGACTCATCTCGGAAGAGGATGTGATACTGGTGTGGTCATGCAGAACAGCACTGTCTTTCAAAGTTATTAAAGCAGTCAGTGGGAGAAGGGAAATAAAATTAGGTCATCTTAATTCAAAACCCTATTTTATTCTTATTGCCATTTCACTTTTGGTAATCATCAGCCTTCTCCAACCATCATACTTACTTCATCTATCTCACTTGATAATTATGTCTTTGTAAAAAAAGCAGTTTACTTTTGGATGTTTTGAACTAGCCAGCTTCTCAAACTTTTCAAGTGCATTTTCTTTAATTAAATATCCGTTTGATATTAATTAATTTGGAGAAATACGTGACGAGTTACCATACCTTCTTATGTTACCAAATGAAGACCTAAACATTAAAAAATGAAAGATGAGACAACCAGTTATGAATTTGGTGACTGTGGCTACTTCATGTATTTATGACAATTTCTAAGAAAGTTCTAGCATAGACTAAAATTAAAATAGAAGATCATCATTTGACAGTAATAGTTCAGCTAGGTATGCCCACTTGCACCTACAAGCACGCTAATGCATATGACAGCACAAGAGGCAGAGAGAGAGAGAGAGCATAAGTGCCTAAGTGGAAATAGAGTGAATAACCTTAAGGATTAAAGTGCATAAAGATCTTTATAGCAAGTGACACAGGCCTGCTGTCAGTTACGGGAAAAAGTACCTCTGTTCCTTCCATGAAGTAATGCTATCTGTGATGTTTCAAGGACAAAATGGAAAGGGTTTGCTGGGATTTTTTTCCATCTAGTTTTTAATATACTGGGATGAAGAAAATCCAGGTTGCAAGAATTTCTGACCTGCAAGCATCTTGCCGTAATCATCTGGTGCATGATAAACTCCAACGCTCCAGTCCTTGTTTGAGGTACATATTAATAGGTGATAGACCTGAAATAAAGGCACATGTTGGGAAAGGAGTTCACAAGTTTCTTGGTTTAGCATAGCTTTGGGGGAAGCGAAAAAAAAGGAAACAGGAAGATCAAAGCAATATGAACAAATTGATAGTTAGTACAAGGAAAAACAGCAGAGAGAAGAATTTAAAAGAGAAAAAAATACTGATATTAACCAACTCTTGATGTTTCCTTCACCAGCAGAGGAATTTGTGTAGTTTTTCATAAATCTCACCAAGGAAACAACTAACATAATAATGCTGTTTCCTCCTAGTAGAAGGAATCTGTGGTATGCTTTGCCCCATCCTTGCTAAACCACACAACTCTTTCTGGACATAAAGAGTAAAAGTGTAATATCTGCATTCCAGGGTGCTTCAAAAATTATTGTCTTTTTATAGTAATATTTTACCTACTGCCATAGAAAAGTCAATTCTGACTTCGGGATATGAAGCAAATCTTTATCTAAAATCTGGGCTCTTATTTAAGTGCAATATGACCTCTTTGGAATAGATAACTTCTTTAAATTAGATATCTCAGGAAATGTCTTTTATAATAAAAATAATCTTTTACCATCTTAACCTCTACATTGATGCTGAGCTTATTCTAATCTACCTTTACCTCAGGTGTTAAAAGGATAAAAAATGACTCAAAAACTAAAATGAGTTTTTGAGATGCTGCACTCCTCCCCCCCACCCCTGCCATCTCCCCAACCATGGATACTAGTGTCCCCTAGGCCTGCTTGCTTCTGAGACAGAAAAGCAAAACACAAGCCTTTTCCTATAAATCTAGCCTTTCATTTAATTACAAAAAGACAAACAGCTAAATTCATGGACTATTCCTACACAAACCCATCCTTTATTGCTATTTACAAACTAAATCTGAATATGGTTTAGGTTCTGGGCCTTTAACTTACCTAAACATGAGACTAAACTTCAAATTTCAGGTGTTTTACACTGTGTAAGCTACCTCTTGGGACTGCTAGCCAAGGTTTTGCCTGTAAGAAGACACAGGTCAGAAACTTTATTTTGATGGAAGTAAGCGGTTTTATACCCAGTGTGCTGAAATCCAGAAGAGAACAGGACATAACCTTATGTCAGTTGTTGGGTCAGGCTCTTCTCATTTATATGCCTATATTTACCAATCTTGACCAGTCTGCATGCTAGACACCAACATATATCCAGAGTCTAGAACTCCAGATTTTCAAGCAGCCCCAATTTAAGCAGGATGATGCAGAGCCAGGCTTTGTGCCTGCAGCCTCAGCACATAGCAAGACAGAGCCATAATTCCCAGTGACTGCAAGAAAGCTGAATGCTTGTGTCATAGACTCAATTTCTTGTTCATTTGGGTTGTGTACAGCAGAGCACACTGCTGTCAAATGAAAAGCAGCCTTATGTTTCTCAGTAGTGTTAGCAAGTTGAATGGGAGAGAGTTGAAAAATGTTGTCTTCCTGAATGTTCAGGACATGCCTAAGGTGCTGCTAAAGTGTAGCAGGAGGCTGGGTGGGGAAATTTCAGTTGACTTCTAATCTGATGACAGGAGGAGCGTTGCTTTCTATGTTTGTCTTCCTGTGAAAAAAATTTGGTTGAGGATGCCACTATACATTCCTGTGAGCTTAGGAAGGGCCAGAGGGAAAAGTGTGTTTCCAAAGATGGCTCTTTACCACTTCAAGATAAAAGATAATATAACCGCAACACCACTGTCAATCTTAAATGTAGTGCAGCTATTGCAATACAGTTATTATAAGTACAAGGACCTTTATCCAAAAGGATACCTTTGGATACCTTTATCCGAAAGGGTAGAAGATATTCCATGTAATGCAAAGACAATATGAGGATCAGATTATGAGTTTATAGCAAATTAGTCATCTGCCTGTGAATCTTGTCTAGCCTGAATTTAAAACATATTCCACTGAAACACTTCCTAGCAAATAATCTTTTCAATACTGTTCAAAAAATGCTTTCCATCATTTTTAGTTTTTGTAAAAGAAGTTCTTGGTGGCTTGCCCTTCCCTCACACAGATCACAATAAAAACAAGCAAACAAAATACATGGATTGTGCCTGACTCAAAGCTTGCTCTGTGCATCCAGCACACTGGTACATCGGGGGAAACAGGAGCCTAAGATAAAACATTCACCATTTAGAATGTGGAGGTCTGCCTGATTGTTGTTTGCCATGTGATCTCCTTCCTCCCCTTTTTTTCATAGTCTTGGGCTATAGTAAGAGTTTTTGTTCATCACTTCTTGTACACAAATATAACAGCAAGAAATAGGGTGTATTTGTTCCCATGACACCAAATCATTTCAGCTGCATGACATGGAGACCCAGAATCTCTCAGAAGGCTGCCCTACCTCTACCACTTAGTCATGGAAACTTAAAATGCAGAATTAGGCAGAATTAGGAGACAACTGATGTCTCCTCTATGAGAGGTCTAAACACTGCAAGGACTCTGGGACCTTTATGTGTCCATCCACAGGAGCTTGTTTTGCCTTTCTTCAGCAGCTGTACAATGGCTTGGTTTTATTTTTGATAAAGTATAAGAAATTATCCAGGCCTCAAGACAAAAATGTTCAAAGCTGAGGTTTTGATCATTTAAACATCAATACCACTGCCTGCACACAGACTGTTCAGAATTCTTTCAGAGGATGGACAGAAAGTAAAGGAAAATATTTTTCATAGTACTGCTGTCAATTAAACCTCTGGCCCCCTCAAGGCAAGCTCATTCCTTTGGACTTGTCCTCTCCCAAAAAAATTTGGTCACTCGGTCTCAAACAGAAAACAAGACTGTCTTCTATGTGTTTATCTCAGTGATGGGGTTGCACAAATTACGGTTAACATTCTTAATGTAAGATTGTATGCTATACTGGAGAAAGCAAAACTTCATGGAACAGAAATACCTGATTTCCGCCCCCCCTAGATATAAGGTCCACTTGTCTTGGTTGCTTGTTCCAGCCCTCAAACCAGGGTAAACATTTTGCCTAGGACAGAGTTATTAACTGACTCCATTTACTGTCTGAGTAGGCAACAATCAGGTCTGGGAATGTGCAAAGCCAATCCTAATCATACTTTTTTTCCAGAACTGCTTCATTAAGTGCAGCATCTCTGCACTTAATGAAAAAATCCAAGAGCTTCAGCAAGTATGATAGATAATAGTCCTAAAGAGATTGCCTCCTTTGTTCCTTGATTTCACTTAGCAAAGACAGAGAAAGAAATAGGAACAGAAACGTTCCACATAGCATTTCTTTCTCTCATGTAAGCAATTCCAATTTCTCAGTTTCTAAAGTAAGGAGATACAAAGTGGAACTAGCTCTGCAAATTTGTTATCTAATGTTTCATGCTTGTCCACAGAATGTCACTGTACATCCATTCTTGTTTCCTCCATTAATTTAATGATGTCCATAACACCTTCAGGGCATCAGGTAGCAGAAGCCTAGTGAAAACTCTTCTGAACAATTGCACTCACTTATTGTCTCCTGACACATTCGAACAGTCTCATAGCACAACTGGAGCTCATGCTGGTCTTTAAAGTTAATAAGCAAGTACTCACCGGCATTTTAATATTTATATAGAGATATATATTTAGTATATATATGTATGAATGTCTATATATTTTATACAAATACTGTCATTCTTTTTTAAAAGTATTAACACATTATGTGGCTGATTGTCACTGTAGTACCAGCATTAAATTAAGTGGCAAAAATATAAACTGGAATCTGGTTAATACCTTCCAAAGCTGATCTTAATTGGCTTATTAGTTGGAGATCATGAAAACAATTTTAGCAGGCATCAGTTTAAATGAACACTGAATAAGTAAGTTCAAATAACTTTGAGAATCAAAGTTAGACAAATAACACAGTCAATAATGTGTGATCATCAACAAATGACAAATATCTGAACAATGGAGCAGTATTATCCTTCTAGCTCTACTTAGCTGCAGAGACTTCCTGTGTATCCATCAGATTAATTGTTTATTCCAGTTATTACATTCATTCAAATGTATAAGAAAGCAAAGCATTGATTTACTGCCGTCAAGGAGTACTTAGTGCAGCAATTTAAACAAAGCACGGCTGTCTCCATATATAATTCATGTTTATTATAAATTGTAAAGGAGAAGGAAAATGCTACAAGAGTATGTGTAGGCTCAGCTATGTAAATTTTTGTTGTTTTCTGAATGTAATAAATACAATGTTTACCTGTCAAAATAATCAAACAGAAATTTCCTGCACTGAATAGTTAATTTCCAGAAGGAGAGACAGTGTTATTAAAAGCATTCTCCAAACACTGATTGCTTCCTTCTGAACTAAAGCACATCATTTGGTATTTAAAAGCTGTCTGGATTTGCTGCTTTGTTGTGAATATGCTTGACACATACGCCTCACAAATCTTCAAATGGATCTAAAATGTGTCCTGGATTATTTTTGCTGGGATAGCACTGATTTAGAGAATGCATAATGGTGCAATCTTCCCACCACGCCTCAGAACCCTGCCTTTCCCTTACTGAGCTTGTTGTAATTCAAATAGTGTTCAGATATAAAAAGGGCATTCAGATCCTGTCACTCTCACAGACCTGACTGCAAGGCTGAGTTATATTTTGGATTTAGGCTAGTAATATATCAGTGGTTATGTCAAGTCTTCTTTAGAATTTTGAACTTGTGGTTCACTCCGTTTCATTAGCTGGTGGTTTTGACTTTCACAGCTGTGGGCACCGTATTATAGCAATGAACTCTCTCTTCTTCCTGGAATCTGTAAAACCTTCAATAGATATACCCCGCTTCTTTCCTATCCTAATAAAATATAGAAAATCACATGGGCTTTGTTCCTCAATTACATATTCACTACGTAACTCTGAATAGGAAAAATAAAGTGCTAGGTGTACATTTCTAATTAAATTACCATTCCAATTGCTAACCTGAAATCAGAATCCTACTCTGCAGTGGTATATTATGAAATGTATCTGAAGAAAGCAACACAAGGCAATGCAATAGCCCCTTTTTTTCACTGACTTCAGCAAAGTAATAGGCCTGCAACACCAAGCTACTCAGATCTAGAATATCAGAGTGAGTGAGAGTGTGTGTGAGTCCCTTGAAGACATAATAATGATAGTGCTTGTTAAGGTCACCATTTTCATTTCAAACTACAGCTATAAATATATAAATTTCCAACCAAGAAGAACTTGGAATTAGAACAGTGTGACAGCACATTTACAGGTGCTGTATTAAAAACAAGAAGCAACAAACAACTCCTGAATTAAATATCTTCAACTGACTAAAACACAGAAATCCATTGAAACCATGGAGAACCAGAAATCCTAAATATTTTGGATAAAGGAAGTGACCAACATCATCCAACCACCAGTGTAGGTAGGCTGCACACTTCCAGAGACATAGTTGCTGTGTTAATTCTTGTCTGTTTCTCTTCCTGCAAGGTCTTCGAAAAATAATAAATCTGATCTTGAAATAAATAAGGTTTGAACTTCTCTTATACTTTATTATAATTCTTAGCAGATTAGACTCAGTAAGACTCTTAGCATTTTAAATCTTAAAATACAGTCTTTAAATAAGCTTGTCTTTGCTGACCTGTCACCTTTAAGTTATTTGCAGAGAACTTTGATTAAGTAGCATTAAGTAAGTCTTTTCCTTAAATGATTTGAAAATGTAACTTTAA